CCATGAAGTCTGATTTACCTCCAAAGCTTTTCTCATTTGTCGTTTCATTCCAGCGAAGAAAATGGAATGCAAAGTTAGCTCTAAAGAGGTGAGAATTTATTACAAGATTGAGTGATATGAAATAATAACAGCTAATACTAATTTCCATAACTCAATAAGTTCAAATTTCCACTGAAGAGTTTTGCTCCTTTCTGGCCAATAATAAGACATGATGTGTGAAAGGAAAACGTCTTCCAGCCCCAGTATTTGGAAATCCTGCAGTTGTTTGGATATTAAGGGAATGACTAATCTGCCTCCTTTGTTACATGATTTTCAAGCCTGATGGAAAATATTCACACTGAGGGTTTCCACATAATGTTGTGTTTTGGGTTTGTGTTAACATGGCAAGATTTATTTTTTTCCATCATCAATTTGTAAACAACTCTTCTGAAAACAAAGTAAAATTTGTTTTTGGATCATTTGGAGAATTTAGTAAACTGAAACACTAAAAAGTTTCCCAGCTTTGTAAGATCAGCTCAGCTCCTCCTTTACTTGTGAGTTTCTTAACTTGTTCCTGACTGAATGTTGTACTGCAATCAGACTGAATGGCACATATGTTTTCAGATTTCTTCAAACTTGCTCAACTTGATTCTGGTTTGTAAAAAAAAAAAAAATTCTACAGAATTAAGCTCCAGGTATTATATTATTTCTACTTCAAAACAGTTTTTAGCAAGCTCTAGGATCTTTGTTATTACATTATTTGACAGCAATCCTTGAACAGGAGGTTGCACATTTTCAAAAGAAGCCAGGAAAATGAACATCGAGTTCTTGAACATCCCGCTATTGCCCTGACACCGCCAGATGGATTTGCTCCGCATATCCATCTGGAAACCTTCCGTTGAAGTAATTTTGGGAAGGGGTGAAAATACTGGTTAGCTGATTGGCCTATGTTGGTGATGGACGGGCCAAATAAACCAATCAGATCAACGAAGCATACTCTTGCTGAAACCAGTCGGGAGAAGAGCAAAAACATCTTTTCCTCTGAGAAAAGCCTCTAGAGCAGTGTTTTGCTCTTCTTTCAGTGAAGAAATACTCTGTAATTCCGATAAAACTTGCTCGATAGCCACGCTAACGCTAGTTTCATCAGCTGAGGCCGCCATGTTCTTTAGACTGAACTGTCGCGCTTCTCGTAGCGTCACACCTCAACCCGCCTCAAAGCCAACGCTGATTGGACGTTCGTTTCGTGAACGGCTCCAAATTTTCTTTAACGGAGAGTAGCCAGACTGATCTGCGAGTGAAACCTTGAAAGCTCACGAGATCAGGATGGTCTCACGAGGCTACTATTGCCCTACTCTAGAAACAAAAAGTACTTCTCTTCCACATTAGAGAGTGTGGTTTTGGATTGCATCCTTAAATGATCAATTAGTAGTAAAAAAAACAACAACTCAGCATTATAATGCAAGTATAGCAACTAGATTACTTTGTTAAGGAAAGAATAATGCCAATACTAATGTTATCATGTTTGATGCCCTTACTCCCAAAAATGGTCATGCCCATTTACTCCAAAGACAGGAAAACCTTCAACATTACTAGATTGTACAGGTGTGGACATCAAGTTATGCAGAATATCTTTAAAAAGGAAAATATTTTCATGACCTTCTTTTATAAGATAGGAAAGTACATCAGAAAGGACACGGAAATTTTCTGCAAGGACACAGAAAAATTGTCACCTTTCTATCTCCTCTTTCTTTCATCTTTCCTCTTTTTTTCCTTTTTCTTCTTCTGTTTTTCCTCTTCTGTTCTATTTACATTGCAGAGTCCATATAAACTGTAAAACTCCCTGCTAAATTATAACAAAGCAATTTGTATGCATGAAACAAGTGGAGCAATATGGCAATTGCCATACTGCTACACTTGTGAAAGTAAAATCTGTTGGGCTCTTTTTGGCATCAAGACAATTATTCTTATTGGCACATTGCCAGACAGGACACTGGTAAAAAAAAAAAGAAAGGACACAGAAAAATAAAATAAATGAGAAAAGATTTTGAAGGACTTCTACTACTCCCAAGTCAACTACTTTGTAGTCTGTATAATTTTTACTTATTTATATGGTCAGTACATTTCTGCACTGAAAGTGCAATAATTCAAGTCAGCTACTGTGTAGTCTTTACTTAGCTCTCTACTGTGCAGATATTTTTTATATCTAAAAGAAACATATTTCAGGACATTACTTTTTTAATGCTCTTTTGTATTATATAAACTTTTTTATATATTGTGTTGTGTTGTATTTTTATCTTTAATGGCATCTTGCTTTAACTCTGCCCTTTGTACTCTATATAAGCTAGTGGAACCAGAATTTCCCTGAAGGGGTAATCAAAAGGGATAAATAAAGTTGAGTCTGAAGGCTGATTTATACTCAGAAACCAGGTTGTCTGCTTGTGTGTGGCAGTAAACGCAAATGTGCCCCCACTCTCTATGCAGACACTCTGGTGCACCTCTCCAAAATTGTAGGTGACTGCAGACAGACAGGAAGCCTCTGATTGGTTAAATCTACATCCGCTCTACACTATGCGTATTTCCTGTTTGGTACCTTACCGGCTTGTTTAGCCTCTTTTTGGCCCTCATGTCCCTCTGTTGTCGCACAAACTTGCCCCCACTTCCTCACCGCTTCGTGATTGTCCCTCTTGCGTTGTGGTGTGGGATAACAAAGCGCAAACGAGCGCTTCAATATTGGGCATGAATCAAAAATATCTGCAACAAGCTCACTGTGACACACTGCTGCGGGAGGATAACCAGTCCTTTAGTCTAAGTCTATGGAGTGGAAAAATTGGTAAAATTTGGTATTTAAGTCAGAAACTATGGAAGCATCAATACATAAAACATTTTTTCTTAATTATTTGTTTAGTACAATTGCAATCTAAACACTAAACCAAAATCTCAGACTGATATGATTTTGGAGAACATCTTCCCTAAAGTATTATGCAGATTAAGAGAGTGAGGCTTTTTCAGTGAATTTCAACCCACTCATATAGCTGAAGAAATAAGCAAGGAAAGGCAGCATGCAACTTCCACATGCACAGCTCGTCCCAACCAAACATTTTGAATTCTTTTTATTTCTCTTGGATAGAGGCTTGAAAAACTAAACATACAGTCATCAGCATTGGGTTTGTTTAATGGATTGATGTTTTTTCCAACATACCAATGTAAATCTAACTGCAAAGCAATACTGACTGAGAATCCATCCAGTATTTGAAAGAATGCAACCTTGAAAGGGCTCCATGTGGAGAAAAAAAATTGTCCATTTGGGATCAAACTGAGTGGGATTCAAAACCAAGAAAAGGTACTTAGTCTTGTCAAAGGATTCTAACACTGTAAATATGCATGGACATGAATCTAATCTAAAAAGGATTCCTTTCCATAAAATTCCTGAAAACAAAAGGGATCAGCCCCAAGATTTCTTACGTGTAGATTTTCACCAACAAACCTTAATAGGTAATTTTCTAAGAAAATGAAAAATGGCAAACTTTCAAAACGTATCAGGTCGCACCATGTATTACCATAATTATTAAATGTCACAGAGTTGAGCCTATAGTCCAAACCATTTTATTTTTGTCTTTTCTATTTTTTGTTTTAGCTTTTGGTACTGAAAATAGATTTTCTGTCTTTGACATTCTTTTAATAAGAGTTTTTTTTTACTACTCTTCTGTAGAGGCCTAATTTGTACAATGGGGTTACAGCACCTCAATAGTTATCCTGGACTTTATATGGACAGTTTTCTCGATGCTTTATTTGCCTGACCGATGGATTTTAATAGTGGCATCAAAGTAAAGGAAGATGGATAAATGTCAAAAAGTATGTATTTAACCTTTTTCATCCACTTTACAATGACATTCTAGTTTGTGTTGGTTCATCCTATGTGAACAGGTTCAAGGAATGTGAACACTCACTCATGGTAGAAATATTGTTTTTTTTTACACTAAAAGTACAAACCAAACAAGTTTTTATTTTAATTTTTTATTCAACATAACTTTACATAATAGGTGGGTAGAATAGACAAAGTATTTGTAGAACTACTTTATAGTTTTTTACTCTAGAAAAAAAAAGCACTTGTTAAAATGTGCAGAGTAACCATTGGCTCCTAACACCTAATTTAATGTTTAAAATGATATATAGATATTTGTAATCTGGTATTTTATGTTTAAAAAGAAAAGCGTTTAAAATCTATCTTTATAATAAGTCATGCATATACGTATGTTAGGCAGCCTCAAGAACTTCCTGCAACAATATTTACTGTTTACTGTATAGTCACCTGATCTCATGTAGTTGAAGTTACTCTTGGTGAGTAGATTAACCAGATATTATACTCAAGTAGTAAAATAATTTCACATTAAAATTACTTAAGCAGAAAGAAAGAAATACAGTAATGTTTAACCACTCTTAAAATATATGTTTTCTAAAAGTTACTCAATAAATGTAACTGAGTAGCTGTAACTAGATATCACCCATTTCTGCCTTGTAACCGCTGGGACTTTTAGAACAATCATCAGCAAATTTTGTGCTGAAGAAGTTTGTTCCAATAAAGGTCCATTGTGCTCTTATTTCAGTATAAAAAGGTTTATATTAGAAGGTGATGCAGTAATATTTTGTTATTGTACTTCTTCTAAACCAGAGAGTGTTTTTGGGGGGGAAATGTTAATGTTAAAAATCAAAGGATCTGTATCAGAAACAGGTCTTTCAAGCTTGCAACTGACTTAGAATGAAGGTTTACAAATTCTAGCCATTTTACATGTACAAATTTGTGAATATTTAAATTTCTATAGTAATAATTTATTATTTCAACCTAAATACAGATGTTATTGCCCGCTGCAGACAAAGATATCTAAGTCTTTAGGTCCTTGGCTTCTGTCAGTATTTTAGGTCTGAAACCCTTAGTTGCATAAATTGATTCATAGAGAAGCCTCCAGACAATTCAGAAACTGAGTGAATATTATGCAAATATTCACTCAATCAGGTGCACATCCTACCTGCCAAGCAGAGTCCAAAGATGGTCAGAAGAACCAGGATGTATAAGGACACAATTGCATATTTGATAGCTGACAGGGAGTTCAGGAGACTGCAATACTGGTCCTGCTTCCTGCGGCGCTTTCCAGACACTAATGAAAAGAAAAGATGGAAAAAAGGTAATGCAGATTCCATAAACCAGCAAAACTACTGTTGGTTGATCACATCATACCAAAGTAAATATTTGCTTGTACAGTAAAGAGTTATTTTGTTGTTGCAGAAAACATGACTAAGAATTTCTAACAACACTTGTAGTTCCACTCACTGGTTTTCACAAACCTTAGACCAAATTCTTTGGAAAATTCTCTACATTACTCCACAATAATTCCAAGAATTCTCATCATATTCTGCTACATGAACTGCACAGACTCACTGAGGATATATTACTGCAGCTCATGCAAGCATTTAACCATTCTCTGAGGGTCAAACGCAGGCTTAATAAACCTGACACAGGGTCTTTATGAATGATGAGAAGGCTGTTTTTGTGTCTCTGTGTTGGACAGCTTGGCAGAAAGCAGTGATGGTTTGTTAATGAAAATATTCCCCTCAGGTCAGGAAGAAGAATCAATTTTCAAACCTTCATCTGGAATCACAATCTTCATCAGTAAACAGAACAGGACTCAGATGTTACCTCTCTAAAGCTATTTGAAATCAGGCACAGCACTGCGTATGTTTATCTGACTGATGCTAAATAAAATCACTGTTACTGGAACCATAGGATCTCAAATGTCTAATTTAAAAGGAAGACACAAGTTTAAGGCAGTTTCTTAGCTGTTACAAAATTGGAAAACATAAGGGAAAATTATTACTGTAAATTCATGTGTCTAAATTTATCTGAACAAAGACTAGAAGTTGTTTCAAAGAGAACAACCGTTTCTCTATTTCAAACGACACAGTAAAGCGTCAGAGTTTGAAATCACTTCTAATTTTTTGATAAATTATTTCACACAGACATATGCTCTTAGAACCCTACAAAGTGAGGAACCTTAGGATATGATCTTACACCCTGTTCTATTGTTACTTAATTCCTATTAGATCAAGAAAACAAATGTTTTCCTTCCGCTGCTCGATCTGATTGCCTACTCAAAAAAATGTTTGCTTTCAGTTGATTCACTGAAAAATGGTGTTCAGTACATTTAAAATAATTCTGATGAGGCTCATTTTAAAGCCTGATTTTGCTTTTACAAACAATTAATACTTTAAATCTGAATTAAACATATTTTAAGACAGGATTCACCAAGTTGAAATTGCTGTATGGGGAGGATGTCTACTTATCATGGGAGGAATGCAACAAATAAGCAATGTCTTTAAGTTATCAAGCTTAGATTATTGCTATTTTTTGCACATAGGCTTTAATATGTCTCTATTACTTTATTACTTTACCTACAAGTTCTCAGCTAATTGTCCTTGGACCAGATTTTGCCCATAACCTCATTTTGGTGAACGTGAGTATGTTTGAAATGTGCTCTTTGGAACCATGCCTGTAATAACAGCCCAGTGTTTGCACAATGTACAAAGGCTTGAAGTCCTCAGTGCAGGTGTTTAAGGCTGGATCCATGACCTCAGGACCTTTGCCTATTTTCTTGTCAGGAAACACTGTCGATTAAAAGGACCACAAGATATCACAAAAGTGCCCAAGGACTGAATGAGTGCCTAAATGCTCTTTTGATTTTTTTTAGGGGCTCTTGCAAAGGGTTTCTTCAGACTTGGGTTTTTTTTTTGTTTTTTTTTACAAATAGGACAGCTTAGCTTGTGCTGAGAAATAAAAACAATGAACTAATGAAGAACTAAAGAAAAGGCACAATAATTGGTATAGTCCCCTCACTATGAAGCAGTAAAGAAAAATCTCATAAACAGACATCCATGAAGCATCATGATCATCTACAGTGTGTCTAGCTCTCAGCTATAGTAATAGCTAATTAAAAAACACCTTGATGGAGCTAAAATACTTTCTGATGTATGCTAAGAATTGTATTAACTTACCTAGCCATACTTTTCTTGTTATTTTTTAAGGATTCAGAGCGGTTGATTAGGATCTTTTAAAACCTCACGTTTAACTAGTGTCTAACTCAACAAAGAAAACTGCAGATGAGTTAAATGACTGAAAAAAAAAAACAACATTTTGGAATGTGTTCTAAAGAGGCCTCTGGAGGAAAAATCGAGAGTCTGCATCATGATGAATATTACCTCCATTGGGATATCATACAACTATATATTCTGTCATCCTGCAAACACTTAGGATATTAGACTGTGTGTGAATTTCAAAAACAAACAGCAATCTTGCAGCTAAGTCTCCTCACAGCATGTTTTCATTTGGACCGTGACGACCCACCAATGGATGCAGGTGGACTAGTGTTAATGTACGCACACATAAACTCCCCCTCCATGATGAAGAACACACACAGCTACAGAGTAAGAAAACACAGCTGGCTGGGATGCGTGTGTGTGTGTGTGTTAGTTACATGGCTGCAAAGTACAGTATAGAAATAATACACCATGCTGTCACCTTTATTTTAGACTGGCCTGCCCTAAAAACAGATTTTTAAAGGAAGAAATAATCCTGACCTCATGCAGCTAGATTGGAAAACAAGAGCAGCAGCCTCACAAGAAACTTAAGAACTCATGTCTGCTGCAAATGTTTTAATTTCTTGATTTGTGTCAGCTAGCAAAACACTTCAAGCTGACTTTGGGTCTAATTTCTTTTGGGAAAAGGACATGAGCTCATGACACTCCCATTATTTGCTTAGGGTATACAAACCGGATTCCAAAAAAGTTGGGACACTAAACAAATTGTGAATAAAAACTGAACGCAATGATGTGGAGGTGTCAAAAACAAATATTTTATTCAGAATAGAACACACATCGCAGATCAAAAGTTTAAACTGAGAGAGTGTATAATTTTAAGGGAAGAATATGTTATTTCCAAATTTCATGGCGTCAACAAATTCCAAAAAAGTTGGGACAAGGCCATTTTTACCACTGTGTGGCATCCCCCCTTCTTCTAACAACACGTCTGGGGACAGAGGAGACCAGTTTCTCCAGTTTAGAAATAGGAATGCTCTCCCATCCATGTCTAATACAGGATCTAACTGTTCAGTCGTCTTGAGCCTTCTTTGTTGCACCTTCCTCTTTATGATGCGCCAAATGTTCTCTATAGGTGAAAGATCTGGACTGCAGGCTGGCCATTTCAGTACCCGGATCCTTCTCCTACGTAGCCATGATGTTGTGATTGCTGCAGAATGTGGTCTGGCATTATCTTTTTGAAAAATGCATGGTCTTCCCTGAAACAGATGACGTCTAGATGGAAGCATATGTTGTTCTAGAACCTGAACACAGGTCTCTGCATTTATGGTGCCTTTCCAGACATGCAAGCTGCCCATGCCACAAGCACTCATGCAACCCCATACCATCAGTGATGCAGGTTTCTGAACGGAGCGTTGATAACAGTTTGGGTTATCCTTGTCCTCTCTGGTCCGGATGACACGGCGTCCCAGTGTTCCATAAAGAACTTCAAATCGTGACTCATCTGACCACAGAACAGTCTTCCATTTTGCCTCACTCTATTTTAAATGATCCCTGGCCCAGTGCAAACGGCTGAGCTTGTGGAGCTTGCTTAGAAATGGCTTCTTCTTTGCACTGCAGAGTTTCAGCTGGCAGCGGCGGAAGGCACGGCGGATTGTGTTCACTGACAATGCTTTCTGGAAGTATTCCTGAGCCCATTCTGTTATTTCCCTGACAGTAGCGTTCCTGTTTGAGGTTCAGTGACGTTTAAGGGCCCGGAGATCACGAGCATCCAGTAACGTTTTACGGCCTTGACCCTTACGCACAGCGATTGTTCCAGACTCTCTGAATCTTTAGATGATGTTATGCATGGTTGATGATGATAACTTCAAAGTCTTTTCTATTTTACGCTGGGCAACACCATTCTGGTATTGCTGAACTATCTTTCTGCGCAACAGTGGTGGAATAGGTGATCCTCTTACCATCTTGGCTTCAGAGAGACACTGCCACTTTGAGAGGCTCTTTTTATACCCAATCCTGTTGTCAATAGACCTAATTAGTGTTAGTTGGTCTTCCAGCTGTTCGTTATTTGCTCAATATCCTTTTCCCAGCCACTTATTGCTACTTGTCCCAACTTTTTTGGGATCTGTAGACACTGTGAAATTTTGAATCAACATATTTTTCCTTTAAAATGTTACGTTTACTCAGATTAAACTTTTGAGCTGTCATCTATGTTCTATTACGAATAAAATAGAAACATTTGCCATCTTCACATCATTGCATTCAGTTTTTATTCACAATTTGTTTAGTGTCCCAACTTTTTTGGAATCCGGTTTGTACATTAAAATACTTTAAATAACATGTTCTTTAATGTTAATTCATTGATTGCATTTTCAGCAGATTTTTTTTTTTTGCCAATACAAAAAACAAACTTATTGTAACAAAAGTTGGATTTGTATTTAAATTTATATTTATTCAGGCAACACGTGTTTTGGTATAGCCCAAAAAAAATATCCCACCAGGCAAGATCTCTTTTTTAACTATTCTTTTAATATTCATTTGATCACAATTGTTGTGTTTCTGACAAAAAAATCCAAATTCAAATTTGGTTTATCAACAGCTGTTTGACACGATTTAAGTTACATTGTTACAATTTCAAGTAATTTTTACAAATAAATACAAAAAAATATCCACAACAACCTGGCAAAGTACAAAAGTAAACCACCATCCTTGGAGGCAGCAACTACTGTAAAGGCTTCTTCAGTCACATCATTTCCATCTTAGAGAAATATTTTCTTATCGTATTTGAAGAATTGTTCAAATTTTGAAACTTAAGAGGGTTTCTGTTAACATTGAATTGTGTGTTTAAGGATTATTTATCTATTTTTATAAATAGCTATTCTGTGCACTCTCTGGTATGATTTGGATCTTGGAATCTGCTGCATAAACTAAATGTGTCTAAGGGCCATCATTGTCCGTTAGGATTTTCAGTTTGAGAATATTATTTACTTATACAAATCATAGAAAATCATAAATATCCTTTAAGAAGCAAAAACTGACCCAAATCACCACACTGTCAGGATTTGGTGTTGGTTTGAGGACCCAAATGCAGAGGCAAGTAGGCAGAGGTGAATTTAAGCGGGTTTAATAAGGTTCACAGGAACTGAGGCAGGAGTCAAAAAATCCAACAAAATAACAACGAACCAGAACCAAGGAGACATCAGGGGAAAACCAAACTCTAGGAACCAGGGAGAGACGAGGAAGGCAGACAGACGTTAGACGAGGATCCAGCAAACAGGAACTGAAGAGGGAGGACTTTTAAAGGGGACAGAGACAAAGAGAGGGCTAACGAGGGAATTGAAAACAGGTGAGGGCAGAACAGAAAACAGAGCAAGGGAAAGAGGACACAAGAGGGCAGCAGAGGACAACAAATGGAAAACCAAGAAGACTGAATACTAAAAAGAAAATCATAACAGAAACCTAACACACACTTCCACCATTATGTCGGTCTGGTGATCACGTTTCATCGGAAGCAAAGGGACACACACCTTTCAGGACTCAACATTACAGATAATACTACAGAATAATCAAGATGTTTTATTTTTGCTTTTTTTTAGTTAAAAAGAGATGTACATTTCTGCTTTCTTTCATCAGGAGTAGTTTTGGCCTTGGCACTGATTTTCACCCCATCTGTTTCTTATCATAACATTAGCACTGATTTTAAGTGAGGCTAGTGAGACCTGCAGAGTGTTAAATATTATCCTGGGTTCTCCAGGATGAGTCAGTCTGCTGGACACTCTTAGGAAAGTTCACCACTGGTCCATGTTTTCTCCATTTGTGGATAATGTCTTTCACTGCGATTCACAGACGTCCCAAAGCCTTAGAGATCGCTTTGTAACCATTACAAAGGTGATAGATGCCAGTGCCTTTGTTTGTGAGAATTTCTTTAATTTCTCTACATCTGGCCAGGATTTGTTGGGGTTTTAGGTATTTTTCCTTAACTCATGTGAGAAAGCCTCTATTTAATTTATTTATCTATCATCATTTATTATTTTATTGATTTAGTATGTGTGGCGTTAATAAAACATTAAAGCAAAAACACCTCTTAACTCAAATAGTTATTTTGATATTATTCCCAAAATGCAACAATCTAGTTTGCATCTGTAAGGAGGCTCATGTCTTTTAGCTCTAAATTGGTTTTGCAATTATTCAAGACAAAAAAAAAAATTTTGTTTTAAGAAAAAATAACCCCATGCTCCTGTCACCTCTCAGTCTGATGGTGGATAAAGTGAACTAATCCAAGCAAGTTCTCCTGTTGATATTAACTCAAACTTTCCCAACAAACTGGCCAAGCTGTGGATTGAAACCTGAGAATTTAAATCTGTGAGTTCATTTAGCTGGACCTGAATTCACACAAACACAGATGTCACCTCTGGACATTCAGATGACCACAAAAAGAGAAAAACAAATGCCAGCAACATGAACAGTTTACCTTCCTTTTCCATAGGTTTTACTCTTTAACTTCTACTGAAGTAGAATTGATGGTATTTTTCTGTATATACATCCAATTACAGAATAAAAACTGTTTTCTTCCCTCCTGATGCAGAAAAAGAATCGCCCCAACAACTACTCTACAAGTGCAGTGTTGGGAAAGTTCTCTTTCTACGTGAACTAGTTCAAAGTTCAGTTCAGACATTTTAAAATGAACTAGTTCAGTTCATAGTTCACAATTCCAAAAAACGAACTAGTTCATAGTTCTTTTTTTTTTTCATATATTGCTCAATTACACCATAGCCTACTGTAGAACCACAGACGGCAATTATTTTATCAGTTGTAACTCTGAAACTGTGCATCAGATTTCATCTTCATATCCAGTTTTGAATCCTTATCCAACCAGGGTCTACATTAGCATTGAGGGGACAGCATTTCCCCATTGATGCTTTAATGCTTTGTTGCTGTCCATTCACTTCACACTAGTAGCAGCTGCAGCTTTCACCCCTACAGTATATTCTCAAAAACATCAGGAAAAATGTGCTGCTTGAATGGTCTTTTTTATGAGTAATTATTAAAAGAAAAATAGGAAAGTAGTCTTTAAGGTGCAAATGTTTTTTTTTTTTTTTTTTAATAATTTTTTCCATTTGAAATTCCATTTCAATACATACTAAAAAGGAATACTGGAACCCTGGAAAATTATACCAGGCAGGTTTAACAAACAAGTTACATGGATAGTAAAACCCTCAAGAACAGGGGTCTTCTATGTTTTCCAGACCAAGGACCCCCAAACTGATGGCGAGATGGAGCGGGGACCTCCTAACTATATACATTGTATGAAATTGTGTCCTATAGTCACTCTATTACAGATGGAGTAATGTAAAGAAATTAATTTCTCCCTGGGATTATTAAAGTTTTTCTGATTCTGATTCCTGGTTGTTGTGAAGGAAACGGTGCCCAGCTTGAAAGAGCTCCTGTGTGTCGCTGAATGTGTGCATTGATGACTGAAAGACATCTTCTGCCTCCATTTATCTGTTTACTACAGTGTGTTGATTTCATGTTAATGAGTATTTAAAGACATTTCAATTAGTGGGAAAAAAATGCAGGGGGGAATATAGAAATATCAACTAACCATGCAGACCCTCATGCAGTACCTCCGTAGACCCTCTAGGGGTCGCGGATCCCCTGTTGAAGACCTCCGCTCAAGAAGATTTTACAAACACAAACTGAGGGACCAGGCTGAGGTAGGAATTTAAGGTTACTGAAGTGCGGATTTTTTTACTGAAAGCCGGCGGGCAAACTTGTTGCCATCATCCTCACCGACCACCTGGTCATAAACCTGTTTTAAGTCGCCTCCACGCTGTTGTTGCTTCCACGCTGCATTTTGTTTTGATGACGCACGCGGCTGTAGGCTACGACACTGGTAGCTGGTGTTGCCAGATTGGGTATTTTTCCCGCTACATATTAAGGCCTGTTTACGGTGTGATTTAGCCGGGGTTTCGCCTGGAGGACTCTATAGAAATCTGGCAACCTATTGAACGGAGCTGAACTGAGAGAGCGTGCCGTTCACAGACACCAGAATGAACGAGTTCACAATAACGTTCATCAGGCAATAATGCAGTACGTTCAGTTCACGTTCGCCCAAAATATGAACGAGTTCATGAACTTTCGTTCAATGAACGCGTTCAGGCACAACACTGTACAAGTGCTTGTACACCTAAAACCTGGTCACACCTGTTTACAATTTTCTAAAAGAAAACAAAAAACTTAAAAAAATATTGATTTTTTTTTCTTTTTTTTTTTACCTTCATCACAAAGGTTCAGCTTTGATAAGTTATGTCCATCGTAGACTTCCTCATACATGGAGCCGCTCTCTCTTTCTTCACTTGTGCTCAGATACATGGCTTTGTTTTCCATCCCCTCCTAAACTAAAGGAAAAAAAACTCAGTCAGTTAACAAACCTTTCAGTACCTAGATAGTTTTTTTTGGTGAAACTTTAAAATAATTTCTACTTTAGATTTATTACCAATATTCAAATCATAATAACGCGACTCTTTACAAAGTTTACAAATGTATTAGATTATCACAGGGTTAACATTAGGCTTTGGTTAATACATAACATACAACATAGAGAGGATACTACTGAATAAAACTTCTCTAGATTGAGGATAGAGAGCTAGAAATATGTGGAATACAACATATATCCCATATTTAGACTATTTAAACATTTCATGTAAAGTAAACAATTTCTTTGTTGCTCATTTATGAGTATCGTTAATCATGCATGTCTTTCTTCTCTTTTACCTTCTGCACGAGCTAATGCAGTGAATCACAGGCAAAGCTCTGATCATCCCTTCTCAGTTTGACTAATAAATAGCCTTTCAGTCCCACACTAAAAAGTCAAACATAAACAAACAGAAGGAAATCCTTGAGGTGAGAGGACTATGTCTTTCTCTCAACCGGAGTTGAGTGATTTTTCCTTCTTCCACCACAAGGTGTGTTTTAGCCTCTTTCCATCTGCTTGGCTCCTCAGAAGATAAAAAAAACCTGAATGAAATTGCATGCTTTAAAGCAAAAGAAAAGGTTGGGTAAAAAGCAAAAAGAAAAATGAGGTGATTTAACTTTCATACCAACATGGAGTGAGGAATGTCTGCTATGACTGCTACCTCTCTGAATATTACATCAGATGAGGCAATGACACTAAGCATTGTGCCAATTTTCCAAAACATGGAGGAGTATTTGAACGTTAAAACGGTAACTTAACATGTGTAAAGTATAAAGCTTTACTCTCTTGAAATCTCATTAGATGATACCTCAACTTTTCATTCATAGTCTATTACTTATCCTGCCTAAACTTGATTTACAGTGACGAAATGTCTTGAACCGTTCCTGAGGAAAATATTGAGATAATGACCTTAAGACATCCATGGAGCTACCTACTACACAGCCAACACTGATAAATGCACTGAAATGAACAGGAAGAATTATATTTAACAATTACACTGGAGAAACTTCTTGCAAATTGATGATTGCCTGCGTAAATCCAACAAACGTCAGATAATATTCTCTCTATATGAGCAACATTTACAGTATGGTAAATTTAAGTGTATCCTTTTGCACGTTGTTTGATTCATTCATTTTCTAAGCCCACTTCATATTGTGCAGGACATTTGAAAGCTGGTATTCATTCCAGCAACCTCTATGAATTAGTATAAAGCCTATATTTAAAACTGTAAATCCGAAAAAAAAAGATGCAGCACAGTAAAAGTTCAAATTAGTTACAGACATAATTCATTAGCTTTACATGTCGTTACATCTTATAGCTTTAAACTGCAGCTGCAAATTTTTAGAACAACTTGAACAAACAGGAAGACTCTCTACAGAGGGCTGATCAAAAGTGTGAAAAGTTGATTAAGTTCATGATTTCCTGATTTGCCGTCACTGCTGCAAAAGGACGTTAGTCAGTGAAGTAGCATTTTTTAAATGCTGACTTGTTGACAGCTACTTTTTAACGGTTTAAACTGATTGATAGCACTAATAATATAGCATTAAATTATCTTCAAAATTGCTGTATGGATTAACTTTACAAGATGCAGCTCAATAAATTTGAATAAAATTTTTATCTATTTTACAAATTTACCTCAAAAAGTGAAATGTGTAAATTACCTACATTTAATACAAATACTGAAGAATTAAATAATCTATTCATCTCTGGATCAGAAAATTTGAATATTACATACCAATAACTAAAATTGGATTTTAATAAAGATACTTTATAGATATATTAACATTTACCGTACATAATCTGGTAAGTTACTTCTGACTCATAAGTCCAAAAGAAGCTCACTGACACCCTGTAGAAAGTTGAGTGGAGAGGAAAGACAGTAGAAGGAAAAAGTGTGGTAAACAATGGTGAAGAAACAACTGTAACTTTGGGATGATTGTCAAAGGTATAGTGGAGGATTTTGCCAAATGTTTTAAAAGCCCTCTCCACTCTAAAAAAAAAAAAACTCGCTCCTTATAGCCTATTAAACACAAGCGAGAACGTGCACAAGCCCATTTCTCCTTGTACACACTTTGTTTAAAAGTCTCTGTTTGCATCACTCATACAAGCTTACTTTCCAAAAGAAGATTTACAATTTTTCCACTATGTGGAAAAGACTCGCCACCAGTAAATGAAATGGGTGACAGGGATCCAATTTTTTTAAATGGGACCAAGGCCACTTGGCTATGTGGTCCTAAATCCGATACATATCTAACTTTTTAAATGCGACTAGTGTCTGAATGGTCAGGTCGCGCTTTTTTCGTACAAAACATCATTAATACTTAATAAACTACCCTATTCTGCATCTTGCAACATTTAAGCAGGAAGAAAAACAACCCTGGCAGACGACAATGTGTAGAGCAGTCTTTCTTTTTGATCTTCTTGAAAATTTCCCCATAATGGGACAATAAAGGGATTTTCTATTCTAAAAGATTGGGTTGTTAATGCGCTGGCTCTGGTGGGAAAAGAAAAGAAAGATTGCTAGATACGCTCCAGAACTACCATCCATGTATACCTCTGTAAGCAGTCTCTCGCTACTTGTGATGTCATTGTGTTCTCTACTGCATGGGTTAGACAGTTAAGCTGTATGAATGCAGTTCATGTGGGAGATCAAATACAAGTCACATGTATTTGGAAATATGAACAACCACACAAAAACCATTGGATTTCACACACAAAAAAAAAATGGAATTGAGCATTAAGGCTTGCAATGTGAACATAGCATAAGACTCTTGTCAACTTCATGAAGGAATCAAGTTCTCAGGGTTTTGAGGAGTGGAGAGGCACATAATCCAAGTTGCTTCAGATCCAGTGTGAAGCTTTCACAATCCTGATTTGGAAAGCCATGGCATTCTAGAGAAGGTTCGATGTGCTCAGACTGACAGGATGTATACATGGTGCGCCGTGTATACATCCTGTCAGTCTGACTGAGCAGGCTAGTGATCACCTACAAATCATAAACATGGTTTTATTAAAACTATTGACCACATAACACTACATATCTCTTCTCTGCGTTTGAGTCAGCCTCTGTTACTATATATACAATTTAGAGATTATCTGAAAGTTTGCATTTGGGGTTTTCAGTAGCAATAAGCAATCAGGAAATGATTGCTCAAGTAAAATGTATGACTTCTTTTTAATGTCATACAGGCTTTACCTAAGAACCAATCAATTCACTCTGAATAGAGCATAACATGTCTCATTAACTGTGGACCATTACAAGCGATGTCTCCAAAGTCAAATTAGTTTAAATGAGTTAGCCTTAGAGTTCTGCCTGTAACTTAAAGCAAAGGGTTTATTTCTCAATATTTCTATTGATGCTTTTGAAAAGTTCTCATAGTATTTTTTTATTGAAGCCTGCTTGGCCTCTAGTTTCCCACGATGTGCACAATCAAAATCAAATACAAGCAAAGTGAAAGGGCACATAAAACAAATAGATAAGAGTAGGGAAAGAAGGGCTGTGTCAGAGATTAAATGAGAGTCAGGAGCTGTGGGTGTGAACCCGCTCTGACTCTGTGAGTGTTTAAGAGAGTGGTTAAAAAGCGCTCAGTCAGGACTTTTTCATTAAAAGGGGGATATGGGGGTCAGGTTGACATTTAGACTGAATCTGAGTAAGAATCATCTGTGCTGCTAGGAGATTGCACTAAACACTCCACACCCCTGCAGAAATGGCTGCAGAAAGAGTGTTTGCGTGTGTGCATGTCTGTGTGGACTGATTACCTTCTTTTACACCCAGTTCTCTGGGATACAGCCCTAATCGTTTATTTGCTCTCTCGGCCTAAAGAATTGACGGTGGGAAAGCAAAGTAATCTGTGTCTTACTCTCAGCAGCCCTGCAGCTGTGAATCTCTGGTATATTTGCTCACAATTGACAACATCAAGGAAGCTACAAAAGAAATATAAAGAATTTTCCAAGAACAGAAAAGTGACATGATACTACAAGATACTATAACTACAACAGGCCAATATAAGCTGACATCTTAAATAAAACATGCAGGAACTGTTATCTACAGAAGTGAATTGGAGATAAATGTATGATCCAAGGACTTTCAAAACTTTGAAAGAGCCCAGCTGAAATCACTCAAAGTGTTTGCTATGACAGCAACACAAATAAGATTGAAATTGCAGCCTTCCAATGTCAGCAGTGGTTATCTCCAAAGAAAAGTTTGCAGTTCTCGTCTCCCTCATTAATGCCATCATACAGGAAAAGGTTGTCTGTCATGAATATTGATTTTCAGCTATGAAGAAGAAAATTTCAACACATCAAAGAATTTTCAGGAAGCACCAGCACTGTCTGTTATAGATGAAGATGTTCAACAATAGAAGAGCTACTGGTGCAGGGCTAACGGAACACTGGCAACACGTCAGTGTGATTCCATCTGCAGCTGCAGCAAATCAGAGTTCTGTATGCAGAATGAGGTGATTGCTTCTGGACCATGGACGTGTAGGCTAGCATGTAGAGTTTACTTGTAGGCCTCAGTTCATCTGCATACACAAAGAGCTGACCCTTTATTTATTTATTAATGCCTTCAGACTGAGAGCTTACATAAAAACAATGGTAGGTGCAAGTTAGTATATTGAAGCACACAAACTCTTTTGGACAATGCTCGTCTGGCAAAAAAGGTAACAAAGAAACTTTTTTTTTTTTAAGAACAACGGTATCAAGGGCTGCAAAATATGACAATTTAAAACACAAACAATTATATTAATGCTTTTTTTTACCGACATGTTCAGGAACAATGCAATAGTTGGAATATAAAGATGTCTACAGACAGCTTTATTATCAGAACAGTGCATTAAGTTTTTTTAATCTGTTCTACTTATATAGCCTCTCAATGGTCATGTTAAAGTTATGACTTTCTTACTTGGATCATCAATGTACATGCTTGGGAGAGTCTCTAAAAGTAGAGTGGCAGACAGATCTTTCAGATGGGAGGCTCCTCTCCCATGGAACTAGTTCAGTTTTAAACTTTGAAGATTATATTTTAAACTTTCCTTTTTGATTATGTTAATATATGGCTCAAGTTATTCTTAGCTATTTCTGTAGGCAGGCTGCTATAAACTTAGACTGCTGGAAGACATACCCACCACTTCGCTACCTACACTCTTTTTAGCAGTTTTCCTCTCTTTTTAACTTTATTCTATCCCTTTTTTCTATTTTCATGATAGTAACCCATGACTTGGCATTCTGTTTAGCTGAGACATCAACTAGTAGGCAGCCTACCGAATGAGCTATCGCTGCTAATACCTTTGGGATGATTATGTACCTGATTCACCTATGTTTAACTGTTCCTCTCCACTACAGATGAAAAAGCTGTTGCTGAGACTATCACAATAATTTAGACATCCTCATGAACAGAAAACTAAACTTTTCTGACATGGAAAGTATTTCTAAATCAGGACTCTTTTTTTTTTTAAATGTTTCTATGTCTGTCCGGTCTTCACAACCTCAGTCAGCCACAGCAGATAGCATTTCACACAGAGCCAGGTTCTAATGGAGGTTTCTTTCTGCTGAAGGAGACTTCTCTGCACTGTTGCTTTATGCATTCTATGTGTTTTTACTGAAAGAATCCTGCAAAGTTAGCAACTACATGTACTTAAAAAAAATCCAGGTTATTTCCTTTTTCTTTATCAAACAGTCTTGAAATAACTTATGTTGTTCAATTGAGCTTAATAGATAAGCTTAATTGAACTGTAAGATATTGTTGCATGTTTTTAAGCTTCAAATGAGTTGCATGCTTTTGACCTGGAGATTCCATCAGTATCTATTTTTTCTAAGCTTGTGACATAAGTAATGTGAAAAATGAATAACTTCTACCACACACATTTTCTCCAAAGAGCTTGGAGACTGTTCATAGCAGTGACTTCACAAGGCGTTACAGTTGGATGGATCAAAAGAGGGGTGAGGAAATTGACACATAAAACCAGGTCAGCCACTCTTTGACCTCTAAACATGAGGGAACAGAATTGTCTTATCATTTGTCCCCAACAAACATCCAATTGTGTGCCAGGGCTGCAGATGGCTGTGTGTGTGGTCTATCCTGGGAGCATACATTATAAGATAACCTAAACAAACATATCCTAGAATGTATGTTTCAAAACTACAAAACTCATCTTACAGTCACGCATGTATTTGAAACACAAAAGCCCTATAAAGAATAATCACTTTACACACATCATGCAAACTATGTTCAGCCATCCATGGACATTAACCCATTTCCTTCCCTTATTAAAGAGACACTTTATCCATGACCGCCTGAATATAAAGAACCAATTTTCTGCTAATGAAGTTCATTGAATGTGGGTTTCCTGTCCTTTGAAGCACAAAAGCTATAGTGAAAAAAGTGACAAATCAGCTGTTAAACTTTTAACTTGTCTTGATTCTTAAATACAGCAGAAATCATATGTGTTCAAAGCAGCATGTTGATACAATAGAAAACTGATATTAATTCTTTAGCTATAAAAAAAGCGTCAATAGTTTGCACAATTATGAATTATTTATTTTAATGCATTGCCCTTATTTTTCTTCAATTAGTTCTAGAACTACATGTTTATGGTGTAAGAAATTATTCATCATGCATGAGATAAACAAGACATTATGCAAATAAGCAAACATCTCACCTTCTGTCATAGATGTCAAAAAAAGAATACAAATCACAGTTGCGCCTTCCTCATAATTTCCTTTTAACTGTTGCGTCCTCACGCTTTTGCTTTGTTTTCACTGCAGTTTGTAATAAAACCGAGAAAAAGAAACAAAATGCAGCATGAACACCTACTGTCAGTGTTGCAGAGACTGTCAGTAGTCCTGCAGTGTAGACCGAACTCGGACATGTGGAATAATAAATCCACAACATCGTCATGTGACCACTACAAACTTCCAGCTGATTATTGCTCTGCTCATGCAGCTGCCTTAAAAATGTGAAGATGTAGAACGGCTTCCAGAGACTGTACATGCGCGCCCTCTGCTGGATACATGCTGGAATTACACTCCATCCAGTTATAACTAATGGTGAGTGAAACGTCTCAGCTCCATTAATCTTAGGTAAGATCACTATCAAAATAAACTTGCACATAAAAGCACAGTTGTGTACATATTGGTCAGAAGTTGTGCATAACAAACATTTGTAAAGTCATATTTGAAATCTCATGCAAAACATAAAACATATAGTTTAAATAGTTACAACTTCCATAATTAATGAATTTCAAGTTTAAATTTGTGCTTTATTCATACATTAACTTCATAAATAAGTTAGCCTCCATCAGTCTTTTCACTCTGATTCTTTCCTGTAAAGAGATCAACTCGGGACAAACTCTTTATATAACATACTTACTGTATATGGAATAAAAATAACCATGAGACATGATAACAGAATTTGACAGAAATTGTAATCTTACTCAGCCCAGAGAATATCCTTAAGGTTACAGACGGCAGGCTTAACAACCAGGTTCACTTCTCATTGAAGTCAGCCCCGAATCACAGTTAAAGAAGCATTTTATATAACTATGTATGCCACATCATTTGCAAATCATCGTTTGAAAATAAGGAGACATCCATTTCTCCAGCCATATCAAAATATTACCCTATGTTCTTAGATCAAGGACACCACTCTCATTCCATTCCCAAATCTTTGCCACATACATAATGACGATGACTTTTCATCACATAATTAGATAAACTGCTTGGAAAACTTTAGTTTTGACATGTAACATCAGATAATATCAGGGCTTAATAGACTCATACATCATCAATTAAAAATAATCCTAACAATTTCAACAACTAAAAATAAAACTGAATTTACTATCTTTAAAATAGACATTTCTCCCCCAAAATAATCTATCCATAGCCAAGGTTTATGGTGGTACAAAATTAATATCACATGCTGTTTGTTTAGGAGGATTTCCCCCTAAAAGCAGACAACTGGAACCAGCTTCCATGTTTTTTATGGATTTAAAAACACATGATGGCGATTTAAAATCAACAGTTTTCGGACTGTGAGAGGAAGGCAGAGTACCTGGAGAGTACGCACAGATGTATGGGGAGAAGAGACAAACTCCACACAGAAAGAGCCATGCAGAGCTAAGCCTTATAGCGACCCTCACCCTACCCCTTAAATTGATAATCAAACCAATTTGGTTTTCCTTTTTAACATATTGTTGAACTACAACTACAAAGAGTAAGAAGTTAAATAATACTCCTCTTTCTTCTGGATGTTACTGTCAATTTTAAGTCCCAATGTTCTATTAAAGCTACTGCAGTTGTACTAAACTTTTTTTTACTAGAATTCTTTTTTGCAATTTTACTGTGTACATTTTTCAATTTTTTTCCAAGGTAAGGCAAGGCAGGGTAAGTTATTTGTATTCCAAGTGCTTAACATGAAATAAACAATAAAATAGAAGAAACTAAACTGTGAAAATATCCAATAACTACTGGTTTATTCTATTAAAATAGTAACACGTTTTACTTAAACAGCTGAAATGGACTAATTTTGTATATGACAGCTATGCGCACAATCAAAAGTTTACCAACATTTTTATCTTTATCGGCAATGTTAAGAATATTGCTAACATCCCCTGAAGGCATCACCAAGGAGTGGGCGGGGCCTAAACATACCTGAGCTAAGACGTACGTCCTTGAGATACGCAGGTCCAGACAGGAGATTCAGTGTCAACAATGAACATACTGGACTGAAGGTAAGTACAGCAACTAACTGAAATATAATCTGTGCAAAAATAGTCCAGAGTTCAAAAGGAAATATATTGGATCTCATGTGTCGGGACTACATGTTTAGGGTTCTATTCGTGTAGTTCTTCATTGATAGGTGGTTTACTTTCTGCTGTAGATAGATCCTGCAGGCTGTTTAGAGCTTAGTTACACTATAACTGTTATAGTTTTCATTTCAGCAACAAACACATCTGCAATCACACTAAGTCAATCCAGATTGCTCCAATCTCCATAGGAACAGAACAAGGGGTGGCTGAACTAAAGTTAATGTATTATGTGGTTGTTTATTGTTCTTGAGTTAGGACTTTAATCAACACTGAAATTAGATTTAACCTAATCTTATGATCGGGTTGTACTAGAATGTATTTGATTCATTTTCAGTAACCATATTAATCTTGTGTAATGCCTTGAAATGCTATTTGCTGTGGATAACTGTCAAGATGAAACTCCTTTAGGTTCAGCTCTCTAGAAAGGTTGGACTTTTTATGCAAACAGTGACTGGAATCTACTGGCAATGATTCATGTGACCTTGACTAACTCCACAATTCCAGTTGAAGAGAAGCAAACTAGAGCATAATTCTTCAAACACCATGATTTATCATGGATTTATTACTTTGTTTTTCAATGATGTATCTCCACAGGGCTCTGTTAAATCAAATCAACATCAATATGACATCAAACGCTGATATCAAATTGTCATCATAATTCTAGTCTATAGCATAAATCAACTTGACATCACTCCTTTAAAATCAGTTTTTTATGTATGTCAATGATTTAATTGATGCCATTTTGACATTACTTCGGTATCAAACGTCTTTGAGATTTCACTCAAATAAATATATATTAATGTTATCTTGACATCATACCGTTGCAAATTAATAATTTCTCCATTTTAAAGATTATTTTAGGCTTTAGTGGCCTTTTGTTGTTAAGAAAAAAGTGGGAAACAGCAAGGGTTATCAGGACAGGACTCGAACCTTTGAAAGATCAAAGCCTGTCAACATGGGTGGTGCCCCTAACTCCTGCACCAAACTCATACTTTTTGTGTGTGCATGCCATAAGGAAATGATCAAAGCAATATGGCAATTTTAGAATACAAAACTCAGTGTAGATTATGTCAAACAGATTACTAGAACTATAGACAATACAATTTATAGAATTGCTATTTTAAAGGTATACGGAACACTGTAGAAATTGAAAGATCTTGTACACTGTCATGTATTTTAAACAGAATTGGCTTCATTTAGCTCATTTCAATCTCACAGGATCATCAGTTTTTAATCCTGATGAGGATCCTGTGAAACTGCCTATTCCTCTAGGTCAGGAGTCTGCATCCTTTTCTATCCAAAGAGCCATTTAAGTCTTCACTCCAGCTAAGTAAAAGGTATTAGAGCAACAAATGTTATCATGTTCTTGAAAAAGACAACATTCATTTTTAACAAACCACCAACATTAAAAAAAAATGATTTTTGCAAAAACAAAAAAGATTGGAGCCCTTTTCTTCAGTGGGATTCAAATGTGATTATAAAATCGCATTATTAAAAACAAAAACTAAAAAAAACAGATAAAAACATCACTGGTACCTTTTGGGTCATTCTCTTGCACATATGCAGAGCAATTATTTAATGAAAACTTAAGATATTTTTGCTAAAATCAGCAGTATTTTTTTTTTAAATAAAAGACACAAATTGATTCTTTATTATTTCTTAGCCAGTCATCAAAAGCTACTGCAGAAGAGGCACAGAGCCGCTTGCGGTTCCGGAGCCACTGGTTGCAGACCTCAGATCTAAGTAAGTAAAGCAAACTCTAATGCAGTAATCAATGGATATTTTTAGATTGCTTTGTTTGAAGATATACATCAATTGGATCTTAAAAGATTGATCTCAAGTTGCTTTATGTTTTTGACTAGAATTTTCAGGACAAATTTATATAAGTATTTGATGTCTTGTTGAATTAACATGTTTTGTTTTTGCCTAAAACATAGACCAAAATGTTTTAACCATGAGCAATAGGTTTTGCTCTTGGGTTCTTGAAGCCATTCTATGAATGCATTGTCTCATATAAATACGGAAATGTTAAATGTGCTTTTAAAAAATGTAGCAGAGCTTGTTTTAATTATTGAGATTATTCTATTCTGACTGCCTAACCCAAAGCACAGGCACGGGCATGATTCAGAGTTTTTTGTATATGTGCTGCTCAACCGGTTCCTGTCATACAATCCTGCAGCACTTTCCGTTCAGCATCTATGAGTATGTTTCCTTTGGTCTCTTCATCAACCTTTGAGGATAATCCACTGCTTGGTAACATTATTTGGCCACTGACTCAGAAATGGACTGCTATAACAGCTATTTTTAGTGTTAATTAAAGGGACTTTAAATTCTAAAAGTTGTGTACTTTCTTCTATATAAGAATAATTTGAATCGAATGGCAAATTCTGAACTCTCAAATAAAAGATAATATATGCAATTTAGCTTTATTTTCCCCCTTTAGTAAGGCTTTGCGTCTTAAAGGTGTCACTGCTTCAAGAAACCACAAGGGGGTGGTGTTGCATCTTGGATTCACTTTATCTCTGATTAATTTTATTTCCAGATTTAATCTGCTGGCTGCATTTTGAAATATGTGCAAAAAAGAGGGGGCAGCTGCTTTAGCTTCAGGACACAAAAGTTGTTTTCAAACTTATTCTGAGTTAAGAATATTTCCTGCCAGACCTTCGACCTCCTGCTGGGTTCTGGCAAATTGACTTGCTAGAGGAAATGCATTCTGGTATCCTTCAGACATCAGCAGGCAAGAAAGCCTGCATGAGAGTGGAGTAAGGAAAGACTCTTCAGCCTCTGTATGTTAAGTATGTCATGTTTAAACATATGGTGGTGTGAAGAGGTACCCCCTCCTCTTACAGATTTATTTTGCTTTGGCTCTCCTGTCACATTTTGATTCTTTAGATTATAAATGCATTTTAATGATAGGCAGATATTACCTGAGTAAATATATATGTTTAAAATTGACATTAAGCATTTGCAGCTGGTTTTAATTTGAGTTTTTACATAACGTTGGAGGATTTTGGTCAACTTAGCTTTACTTTTTTTCTAGGACTAATGGCCTGTTAACAGTCATGCTACAGCCAGATTTATCTTTAGACTTTGACTTGACCAATGACTTTGATTTTTACTTTAAAATTCTCCTATAAATGCCATTTTTGCTAACTCTCCCTTTTAGTTAAATCCTTAAAACAGACCCCACTGTCAAATCAGGTCTGCAGTGATTAAGATGATTTCCTTGATTCATTTTTGCCCTCCTGTGGGGCTCTTTGATGGTTTCCTGGAGCAATATTGGTGAACCAACAACCCTGTCTCTCTTCCGGCCTTAAAAAAAAAAAAAAAAAAAAATACATGTAATACATTTTTACACTCCAGTGTATTTAATTTCTTTATAATGAGCATTATTGGTATGGGAATTAGTGTTTTTTTTTAAATTATTATTATTATTATTATTTTTTTTTAGCTTATTTCATGTTTTCCTATGATATTTTATTAAGTGATTCTTGATTTTGAATGAATTAATTAATTAAGTGGCCACTCACAGTTAATTCACCATTTAACAAGTAACTAAAAATGCATTAAATCCCTTCTTTCCTTTATAAATAAAATCAGCAAAACAAATTTTTTTTATGCAACCAATTCTTGTTTGTCTAATTTTAAAATAAAGAAGAAAATGTAATTATTGTTCCCTGTATTGGGTGTAGATAAAGCAAAAGGCAGTTGAGTTGCGCAGGAATTATTATTTTTTTTTTACATATTACATTTGTTTACAAGTCCTGGTTCAGTAGCTAAATCTAAATTAAAGTGCTTCTAGCAAATAAGACAAGCTGTATATACAGTCGGTTTATGTCTCCATAAAAAAACAGAGCCAATGGGCCCTGTATAGTAAAAGAAATGCTGTCCTCAGGCATAACAGCAGCATTATAGACCACCATAGGATTTCCTTTACCCTCAGCTCAGCCCCACTTTGAGGGTTAACTTGTCTCCATCTCTTTGCCCCAGTCACTTTCTGCATATCAGTTACTCCATTGGGAGCTTGTTATTGTCTCAGCCAATCATACCTCCTCCTTAATTAACTCAGGAAATTGTGTTCCTATATTTACAACTATAATAACCCGCCTGGCTTGCTGAAAAGGTCACATCAACAGTTTAGCAGTCTTTTTTTCTTTACCCTATAGCCCCGTAGTCCAGAGGGAGAAACTGTAAGAAAAGCCCAAACCCGAGGAGCCTATAAAAATGATAAAAAGAAACAGAAGTGTTTTTTGACCTCTCAATGTCAGAACTGGCTGATTTCACTTTTCTGTACTGGGATTCAGCTCAGTTATTCACCAAAATGTTCAGGAGGTTGTCAGCTTAATCACTGGAAAATAAGCTTTCGAGAAAGAAGTACTGTTACAGAGTGCCGTTTCCTCAAACCACAGACAAACATTTTCACAGCAGTGGCAGCTGAAACCCTGAGAGCAGATTGTCTGGTGACAGACAGGGTTCAGAGTCTCAGATAGGGTTGCAATCTTTACCATCACCTTGCTTTTTATAGACCCAAACATATGTTATAGGGCAGGGGTCACCAACATGGTGCCCGCGGGCACCAAGGGGCCCTCAAGTACCACAAGGGGTGCCCTTAGAGTCTTCTGAAAATAGAACAACTCAACAGTGAGCTACGTTTGAAATTTCACTGTATTCTGTTGCTCTTCTTTTTTTAATAGGGTTATAGAACATTTCATCATTTAATCATATATGGCATTTAAGCATTTATAGAGATTTCAAAATGAAAATGTCAAAAAGAAAATTATAAATTTAAAGAAATTATCAAGATATGTTTATGATGTATGAAGTTTAGGTGAAAGTTGACCGTTGCAATTCATAGGTCAGTACCCCTGAATTAGCCCTCAACTGTAAAAAGGTTGGTGACCACTGTTATAGGGAGACACACCAGTAGCTGACTGGAGGGCATGTTTCTTCCTTCTGGTCTGGATCTCCCAGAATAAACTTGAAGGTGTTTCTCAGTAAACGGATCAGTGAAAAGAGTTTTTCTCCCTCCTGGATCTGCCAAACTGGATCTAAGATCATCGAGGCCTCGTTGTGTGTTCTTTCAGTAACCTCAGAGTAGATTACTAAATTAAAAACCTTGAGTGCATTTGGATGATAATAAATCCTGGAAATGTAACATTCAAAATCTGAATATGAATCTAAAGTTTTAGGTTATAAGAAAAAAAAGTCATTACAAAAAAAAAGGAATTACTTATGGTGTAAAAAGCTGTTTGCCTTCTTATTTTGTGGGTGTTCTAAAGTTAACCCGAGAAAATACTAAACAGGCTTTAGAATGACAAAAGAAGATAAGATTTAAGGTAAAAAAGCTATTAAAACCAACCTGGCTGTGTGTGGAAATCAGTCAACCAAGTAGTTATATTATGACTTAATTCTCCCCTCTTCATGTCAAACCATCTAAAAACACATTTCAACCTGAAAAAGTCACAAACAGAGGGAAGGCAAAGGAAATATTTAGACAATGTTTTAACCTTTTGGTGCTCAGGCCTCAGTGGGGTACATTAACAATGGATTTGTATCACATGCATGAGCTGCTGGATGAGAACAGGGATCAGGCCCCATTAGGCCTGAAACTGGAATGGAGGAGGACTGAATCAGGGTAATCAGAATCAAAGTTTGTAATACAATCCAATACAAATGCTTGTTGGTAGCAGGTTGAGCTGTTGATTAGTTTGTGTGACTTTTTACCTAGTAAATGAAATCATCATTTCAAAACTGCTTTTTATTATTTTTATTCAGGTTGTTTTTGTTGGCTGCATTGTTTGTTGATCTAAAACAGCCATGTATGACAAAAAAAGCAAAAAAGAGGAATGTTGAATGTTTTATCAAATCACTGTAGCTATAAACACACATATAATCCATATGCTATTTTATTATCAAAAAGCAAAACTACTGTGGACATTTTCTGTCCTAAATCCTTTCGTTTTAATAAAAACAAACAAAGAAAAAAGCATTTAGCAGACGTACAGTGGTGTTTCATCAAATAAAGGAAAGACATTTCTGGCAGTTTATACAGTTTGTTAAGGAGAGAAATATACAGTAACTTCATTTAATGTGTACTGTGACACCATTGACACCAAAGGCTGTGTAAAAAGATTTAATGAGCAAAATCTGGCTTGGATAATGTAACAAATACAGGGATTTTCATCTCAAAGGTTGCCAATTTCCTGCAAATTGACAATTGATTTTTTTTCTTCTTCTGGTAATATAGTAAGGCAACATAATGGAGCAGAAGCTAAAATGAATGACAGTAAGCTCATTGGAATATTATGCAATTAAATAGGAAAATTCACCTTAAGTATGCTGATGAAGGTTCTCAGTCATCCAGGTCATAGTCATTCCGTAAAAATTCAAAAAATATCCACTGGACAATAGTTGTCTATATAAGACTCAAACTCACTGCGGATCCAGACATTTGAATTGAGAAAGCTTCCTGGAGAGGTGGCGAAACGTCTTCAAATCTTGAAAACCAAGTCCAGTGGATATTTTTTGAATTTTTACGGAAATTCACCTTAAGTAGTTGGACGTCCTTTGGTTTTTTTGTGTTTTTTCTTATTGGGAGGAGACACTGGGGAGGAAGCGGAGCTTGCTTACGGGTCTACGTATCCCCACTGATTTAAGAACGCCTTCCAGTTCCGGTGGAGGAACTTGGGATTGTTGCTTAAGAATAGAAACAAATGCGGCTACGTATTTGGCCGATATTAACATTTTGTTCTTGTATCGGTATCAGCTAATGAACACATGCATTGGCCAATTCATTAGTTTTGATTTTTTTGTTATCATTGTGTCATTTTTATCATGCAAAGGGCGGGAGGAAAAGCAGTATTAGCCTAATGAATTGGCCCCTAAAAATCGGCAGTGTCACTATCAGCCTTAAAATAACCTTTATTGGATGATCTCAACTTAAGAAACACAAAGTATAAGCTTCTGTCATTTACTTGTAATCACTGCAGCCCGATCTTTGAAATGCAAACAAATATGGCTGAATGAGCATCTAATTATGAAGCTCCTTCATGTTTGTTTTTCAGGGTGTTACTGAGGTAGCTCAGGCAAAATGAGCCAATCACAGCAAGTATCCTCCTGGTCTGTGGAGGAGGTGTTGGAATGGATTCAGGCACAGCTCCCACAACACATCAAAACACTCTATAAAGGGATCATCAAACATGACATATCAGGTTGAACCAATCACCATTTCTCTCACATTTTCTAAATATCAATTGATTGTTTTGTTTACTTGAAATGTTTGCAACTTGATAAATTTAATTCCAAGCTCCAAAGTGTTTTAGTGAAGTTTACTGGTTTAAATATATATATATTTGAAAATAAATTTGCAGGCCGAGCTTTGCTGAGACTGAAGGAGCGTCACCTGGGGCTTCTAGGGATGGAGGATGACGACCAGCAGCAGGAAATATTGCAGGACCTTCTGCTTCTCAGAGTTCAGGAAGAAATCAATGAACTCAATGACATCTGCTTTGGTAAATATACCAACTGACTTTAGCTCCAGGTTGTGGCTGAGCGGCCAACTGATACTATACAGTCAGAAAAATCAACTCTGCTCTCAGCAATAAAATTGATTTTATTTACTTTAATATATAAAGAAATGCACCATGAAAATATATATATATAATGGTTTATTTTACTCAGAGCAAGAAAAACATGTTTCTTTTACAAAGTAAGATAAGTAAACTTAGACTTTATTTGCTCTCTTGTCTCTTCACCAGACTGTTTTTCTTCATAATGGACGACTAAAAGATACCCAGCTGTTTTTTTTTTTTTATTTCCCGTCTATCCATTCATCTGTGTGTCTGAGATTGAAAGGAGTGATGGAAATAACAGGAGAAGGTGAATAGAAAGGGGGATCGATGGGGAAGAGAAGAGAAAAAGAAACCCATTTCCTGTGTGAAATTTGACCAGCGCAGATGGATGAGATTAGTTTTTGTCTGGTTGTCTCTTTTTGATCCTTATTGTTCATTTGTCTCTGTCTTTGTCCTCTTTCTGTATTCCGTTTAGCCATACCAATATCAAATATACTGCAACAGAATTTAAATTAAAGAAGTGATTTTTTTTTTTACCAGAATGCCCCTGTGATCTTTATTTAGAACTAATCACAGGGATCTCTGAAAAGGTTTGGGATTTGATGCAGTTATTTTATTATTATTATTTTTTATTCTCCAGGTCTAGAAAAGGACAGACAAAAAAATAAAATAATTTTTTCTTGAAGCTTTTCTTCTTTTCTTGTTAATCTGTTTGCTTCGTAAAGTTCCATCCATCCATCCATCCATCCATCCATCCATCCATCCATCCATCCATCCATCCATCCATCCATCCATCCATCCATCCATCCATCCATCCATCCATCCATCCATCCATCCATCCATCCATCCATCCATCCATACAACGAAAATAAAATGTTATTTATTTTTCTGAAGACAAATATAATTACTGTATCTCTCTTTAATTTAATGGTGGGTGCAGAAAAAAGATAACAGCCTTTTTATTATTAAAGGTTTTAATTCAATCAAATTTTAAGACTCTCTCTTTAAAAAAAAGAAAAAATCAGAAAATGCAAATGGTAGAAACTATTCTTTATAAACTATTCTTTAGGAGACCCATATGCTTGATTGAGGAAAACGAGCCAAATGCATGCTGTGACAGCATCACCTCTGAGAACTATTTTAAAGTCAGAAGATTTTCCTTCAAAGTAGACTTTGATACTCATCATTGAATCAGCAGGACTGCTGAGAAACAGGGCTATATATTTTTATTCTGCCATAAAGCCTGAGCGCACAAGCTTATCTCCTTTCTGTCTGGGATGGTGTTGGTTTGTGATAATGTGTTTTTAATAAAATCAAAGCAAAGCCTGAAAACATTTCAGAGATGTGGACGGTTTGATCTCTTAGATTGTATGACAGTTGTCTCTCTAAACTCACAGCCAGATGAAGAAGTTTATTTGGCTTCAAGAAGATAAAAGTGAAGAAGCTTTGAAGTTGGAATATCTGGGTTTTTATTTTAATGCTGTTTAAGCATTTAGGATTTTGCCTCTGGAAACAGCTTATTTTAATTGGTCTAAAAAATACTTAACCATATATCTGTTTAATATAATGCATATGAAATGAAATCTGTTTAATATAATGCATATGAAATGTTTCTTTTTTTAAATATGCTGGAAGGTTGGTTTCAGACGGCATATCCCAGCTGATCTAACGACTAGATTTAAAACATGGGTTGATTTATTAAGTTAGAAACTTTATAAAACTTGTTTGCTGGTTGCTTTTCTCTCCAATTCCAATGCAAGATGAAATGCAGGATCTATAGCATTTTAGTTTATCAATCATTTTGAATAAATATTGATTTTACTTTTAGCTAATAAAGGGAAAGAAACGGATTATGTTTTACATCTTTTATTTTAAGTGGTTTTTACAATGTTCAGTAATCTTTTGAATTTATAGAATGCCTTACCTAAAGATAAGGGTCTAACAGTCTAATACTGACATCAATCATTGTGTGTAAAATGTTTCTAAACACTTCTTTTGCCACTTAAATACAAGTGCAGCTTTTGCAACATAAACTTGGCTGTAAGCTTTCTTCCTAATCATCCATCTTTTTGGATGCTAGAGTGTAATCATGAATCATTTGTGTGTTGCAGAGATGCTTTTACAGCTGCAGCTCCATGCCTCATAAATACCAAGAGTTTCCATTATAACTCAGATTTTTTTCTCTAGTTTGAAATATCCTCAGGGATTGGCCATTCTCAAAGATCTACTGCTAAAGTTAAAGGTTGTATTAATGAAAACATATTAATGCAGACTTGTGTGCACCGGTAAATAAAGAGTCATATGAGTTGAAGACAGTTCATAAAAGTATGTAATAAAATGTAATCCAATTACATTGGTCATATCTCATCCAGATGATAGTCTAGTTAAAAAAACAGTTATACTTTAAAGCGTTTAGCTAGAGTTCACATACTAGAAGACACAGAAAACTTTGCCGAAAAGTGAAAGTATTAATAAGGATGTTTACTCACAAATCCATCAACTCTACATCAACATCTGAAGAGTCTAATGCTATTTAAGTCTAATTCCTCTTATAACCGAACACTTGTTTGCATTTTATTTTAACAACTCCATTTGGAAGTGCTAATTGGCTTAGCCTACTACTTCCTTGTTTAGCTCATGTGCACTTGGGCAGTATTGGACCTCTGTTGTTGTTGTAAATATTCATTAAGGCCTTTATTAACTACCATAACAAACTAAATAAAAAAAAGCATAAAATATTAGGGATGCACGATATTGGGATTTTGGCCGATATCCGATATGCCAATATTTTAAAACTCATGTAGCCGATAACCGATACCGATGTTAAAGCTGGACAAAAATAAGTAGTCATTGAAAATAGCAGTTTTTTTATCCATTTCTGACACTTGGAAAAATAATATACTCAAATATATTTTCATATGCTGATATCAAATAGATTTTTTAAAACACGGTATCACGATCATTCTGTTACAAACTCTCGTGATATTTTGCAAATTCTTGTGAGATTTTGTTAGTAAAATAGTTCGATACCGCGTCAATATATCAACATATAAAAATATGGCAAAATTTCGTGAATTTTCTTGGGATTTCGTAGCATAACGATGACATATAGCAATATTTCATTAGTAAAAGAGATTGATATGGTGATTTTAAATGGCAATATATCAGCATATGAAGATATTGTGATATTTTAATGTATCAATATTTTTTCCCTCATCTTTAGAAGTTTTTAAGTCTATAAAAAAAGTTTTTGAGGAAGAAGAAGTAGTAGTTTTTTTTTTTTTAGACTTTAGAAACTCAGAAGCTGATCAAATATCGGGTTAAATATCAGTGGGGTGGCCGATGTTCGATATTCAGTTTTAAGGCCGATACAGGCCGATACCGATAGGGGGCCGATTATATTGTACATCCCTATAAAATACCTAAATAGTATAAATTTGTATATTAAATATGTTTTTTATTAGCTGTGGCGAAAAAAAATATCATCAGAATTAGCATTAAAACAATTTGATGCGTTTCACTTATTGAATTAAGTTATCGAAATTAAATATTTCCCTATTACTCTAATGAATTTATTATGCTGGTATAAATAGAATTTGTAAAAACATCCTTTTTCTATAGTTCATAGCCATCCATGCTGCACATTGGTTTACTCTAGGAAATTAAATAAAATTAAAATCCATTTTAGTTTGTGGTTTTAGCACTGGGTAACAAGTGTAACTATAATTGCAAAAGCTGTATTTTAAATCTTATTATCAATCATTTATATCTCCACTGTTTGCAGCAAGATGCCTGGGAATCTCTGGCTCCTATTAAGGATATGTAACAGAATGCTTGTAAACACTGCAAATAATATCAAAATGTTTGAGTACGGTTGCTGCAGGGACCTTTTCCTCCCCTTTTCCTGAGCCTGGCTGTAAGGGTGTCTGTGTCTGAGTGTGATTAATCCTTCACCAGATGCCGTGGCATTTGAATGGGCAGGAATGATGATGGGGCAATGCTTAGTCAGCATAACCATAAATCCATCTAACTGGCAGACAGAAGGAAAGATGAACAACACCAATGACCCCGACCACAAAGCTAAAAAGAAAAAAAAGGTGTAAACGGAGTTTAATCTATGGGCTCGCTTAGAAACTCACATTAAGGTTTTCAATTTGATAAAACTGCAGCTAAAACATACTTTGATTAGGTAGTTTAAATAACAACAATCACACATTTTTTTTATTTCTTTAATATTTTCAAAAATGTACATTAAATGAATACATCATTTTCAGCAATGCTTATGTATTTAAAGTAACATTTAAATCAATTTTATCTGGAAATTGACTGCATCTAAAGAGTCTTCATTTACAGATCCGTTCAAATGTGCGTTTATTTATTTTTCTTGTCTTTTAATTGCAAACAAATGATTTGCAATATCTGGAAATTTCTTATCCAGATGTGATACATGATGGACTGTAGGATCCATACTTATATAGTGGATCGTACAATTTATTATGTAAGATATGTATCCATACATAAGGTTCTTTATTTTACGATTAAGAATAATAATTTATAAAATTAGGAACATTATGTACCATACTGAGCATCCCCTTTAATAGAATTTTTTAAAATCTCCCGCAAAACAGACAGCTACAGGAGATCCTTCCTGTCCACAGCTGATCTACAACAGCTTCTTGGAGACAAAACAATAAAACAAAGAAAGAACTATAAGAATCTCAACAATATCTAATTTTCTATGAGGGTCATTAGTTTATTTTGGAATTAGTTGTGACACAATATTAAAGACACATAATTGTTAAATAGAAGGAAAACAATGATTGGTTTTCATTTCTTTAAATCTAATTGTTCTTTTCTGTTCAGCTCTCAGATTAAATGTTGAAGATTCACATTTCACCTCAAGATGTAAGTCTTTTGAGGTACACTTCTACCAACTTTGTATATTAAGTGAATCATTTTGCTAAGTCTTCTTTACTAAATAGATCATCTTCTGTTAAATAGGATTGAAGGATTAGTGTACATCAATTTCCAAGTTTTATCCTATATAGTCACATTTAGGCCTGAACTAGAACTGGGTCATTGTACAACATAAATACTCTTTGATATAAACCAACTGATTGTGGATCTGGTTGTATGTTTAGGGTTGTTTTCCAGCTGGAGTGGAAACTTTGTGGCCAGTCTGAATCCTTTTGGAGCTTTAACAGGTTTCCTTCCAGGATCACCAGGCATTTAGTTACATTTAGCTCCCCATTAATTTCCCACCACCTTGATAAAAGTTCCCACACAACATGATGCAGTTGCCAGTTGGAATTGTTTCTCTGAAGAAATGTGTAGTTTTAGTTTTCTAACAACTAGTGTCCAGTGGACATCCTTACATTCTAGTTTCTATGTTTTCCTACATGGCTTTTTGCAAAGTATTTTATGCCACTCCTCTATACAGTAGAGGACAGAATATCCATCCATCCATCCATCCATCCATCCATCCATCCATCCATCCATCCATCCATCCATCCATCCATCCATCCATCCATCCATCCATCCATCCATCCATCCATCCATCCATCCATCCATCCATCCATTTTAACCTAAACCTAACAGTCATGTTTTTGGACTGAGGAAGGAAGCAGGACTACCAGAAGATGGCCCATGCATGCACAGGGAGAACATGCAAACTCTATGCAGAAAGACGCCAGGCCAGCAATCGGTCAAAGGATCTTCTTGCTGCAAGGCAACAGAGCTACCCACTGCAACACCATGCAGCCCATAGAGTTTTTTTAAATAAACGTTTTTTCTGCTGGGATACAGTATTTGTGGATCCCTGCATGTAATCACAATGAAATAAATAGGTTTTTTGTACATTGGAAAAATGTTAAAATATGATATAAGAATATGAATACTTAAGGCTGAGCCTCTGCTCTTAATGATGATGAGGAAGAAGATGTAAATTAGGCTCAGGCAAAATAGATACTAATGGAAAAAGTTAAACTTCATATAATCAGAGGATCTGTGCTTTGTCTTGTTTTTTAACATTGAGAAAAACAGAATACATCATAGCAAATATTTACGTTCATGTAGTTATTCTTTAATGGATGCGGGCCAAAGCTCTGCTCTGATGATGATGATGATCAGGTGTGTCTCTCCAGCTTCAACTTTTAACACAGCTGTGAGCCTTCCCCCTGGAGCTATTCACCATCTTCCAGCTACAGCAGTCTTTTTGTCACTTTCTTTTGATCTATTCCAGGCTGCGGCTGCAGGATAGAAAGATCAATACTTACTTGGAAAAAAAAAATAGTTTGTGTCATGCCGTGAAAATAGAGGAAGGAGGGAGAAGT